ACTAAAGGAGTATAACTGAACAAAAAAGCCAATCCTCAAGACGTAAAAGCGAGTGTTTAAAATGTTGGATTATAGAAAATGTAGAGTTATCCGTTGAGCCCGTATAAACAACTTACGGTCGAATGTGGTAAACATGTAGCCAAATACTGAGCCTAGAAATCTTGAACCAGATTTAAGGAAAATGTTGCGAAATCCCACATAAGGCACTACATTTGACCCGATAAAAATGTTTACTGCGGCTTAACCTCATATGCACCATTCTCCATATTGTTTCACTTGATCTCCTTATCTTTCTTCAACTATTTTTGTCTACATGGTGAATGTGTGCGTCTGGTACTCGATCTTAGAAATCCTCTGTATAGATAAATTTTGGCTAAGATAAAGAATAGCGACTGTAATCAACCGAATGACTTTAAGTGATTAATTAAGTTTGCTTTAGAATTGATTAGTCACTCCTATGACACACTGGCAAATGAAGCAGAACAGGCTGCCGGCTGTTAGGAGAGACCTGACAACATTGTATCAACTAACCAGGTTACTATCTGAGAGGGAAGAGATCAACATAGATGAAACCAATGAAAGATGATAAAGGAAATTTAATTACCAAAGAAGAGATTCAAAAGAAACGATGGGCTGACCACTTCAGAAAGCTCTTGAATCGAGCACGACCTGAACTTCGTCCAGAAATACCACCTACAGCCACAGAACTACAAGTGAACACAAGCCTCCCGACGAAAGTCGAAGTCCTGAACGCCACACCATAAGGCTACTGAAATGTGGGAAAGCAGCAGGACCAGATGGAATCCCACTAGAAGCACTGAGAACAGCCAAAGGGACAACAGCGGACATGCTCACACCACTATTGCAGAAGGTTTGGAATGAAGGAAGGAGAGGTACCTACCGATTAGAAGAAGGGCTACCTTGTCAAACCCCCAAAAAAGTCGCGCGGAATTATGCTGCTGTCCACCCGAAGCAAAATACTATGCCGCACAATCCTGGAGAGACTAAAGGATGCACTGGATTCAAAATTACGACCGGAACAGACTGGCTGGATTTAGGAAGTACAAATCATGTGTGGATTAAATTGCAACGCTACGCTACGCATCATCATAGAACAGAGTATAGAATGGCAGTCAACTCTCTACTTCAACTTCATCGACTTTGAAAAGGCCTTCCTTCGACAGCGTTGATCAAGAAGTAATTTGGCAAGTAGCTACTTCAACACTACGGAGTGCCACAAATCTTTATCAACCTCATTCAACAGCATCTATATGAAGACGCCACATGCCAAGTGATTCACAGTGGGAAGCTCAGTGACGCCTTTGAAATGAAGACAGAATAAAGACAAGTCTGCCTACTATCACCCACGATCCTCCTAATTGTGGTTGACTGGATCATGCAGCGAACCGTGGGGAGCAAGAAGGTGCGCATGCCCTGGACTGATGAAAGAAGAAGAAGATTTGGATTTCGCCTACTAGGAACCCAAGGGGCAAATAATAATGATAATACTAATAGTACCGATTAGTAGATTAGTAGCTGGAAATCTGGTTTAATTTCTCTTGTCCCTGGTTTTTCCAAATAGTTCATGAACATTGTGTGAACATCGTACCTCTTAGATGAAAGAAATTGGTGCTGTAGTAAATATGCAACGTTTCGTCCTCAAACTATATTCATCAAGTAGTGAATCAGTAAACAACAACGATTTTAGGCTTTGTGGCTATTCAATCAATCAATCAATATCAACATAGGACCAGGCATTACTCCGTAACAGTCCCAGTTGCCACATCTCATATCACTACATCAAGTAGAAAGGTAGTGAGGCGAAAGATGAAGATAAAATTCTGTCAAAAGAAATATGAACTACTAAAAGAGATAAAGGAAGAACGAAAGAATGGTGAGATTCGGTATAGTGTCGTTAAGATGAGGATAATGTGTGTGGGGATACATCTGCACCATGGATATCGGTTCTCAGCCATATCACCTAGATTCAGTCTGCAACCACTGGTTCCTCTTGACCCTTGGGCCCCAACCACCCACTGTGCATCGTCTCACATAGCTCAAACCAACAGTCAGAGACTTCATACATTGGTGCCATGTTTTAGTCTGGCCACCTCGGGCCTTTTCATACCCTGGACCTACTTCGGCCAACATTGTGTGACGAGGTAATCGGTGACTAGACATACGTAACACGTGTCCCAGTCAGCCATTTCAGTCGATGAAGGTTCATAACCTCGTCAATTGATTTACCTCCACTCCCTAAAACTCTATACCTGACTTTTGTGTTACTCACGTGGTGACACCACGGAATACGGCGTTCTATACTACGAAGGCAACGGTGGTCAAACACTTGAAGCCTTCTCATGTCTTCCACCTTCAGCGGCCATGTTTCACAGCCATACAGTAGAACAGACCGGACTGCTGTTTAGTACACGCGACAATCGATATCACGGGTTAAGGATAGAATATCGCTTTTTGCCACTTCTGATCCCTCTAAGGAGTTTCTTCAAAGTAATTTACGAAATGCTTCCGACAATTTCAAAGGCCTTCGACTTCGTCATCTATGCACAATCAAATCATTCGCAATTTACAACTGTACAGCAGAAAGATCTGTTATCAAGACATACTACTGTGTGTTTGTAAAATGTATTAAAAGGTTATTCTTAATGTTCACTACTTACCTTCATCATATTGGTTATGTGTCGTGGTGTCATCAAGTCAGTAATTCAGAAGTCATGTGTAGAGATTTGAATGGAAAGAAAAATCAGTTGATGAGATTGTAAAGCTTTATGGACTCGAATAACTACGAAATATGTTACATATACCTAATCACCGTCTGCTCCATAGTGGAATATTCACTGAATTCGGTTCAAACTCGAAAAAGACTAGAGGTGGGCGTACTAAACTATGACATCAGTGGATGAAGTCTATGATTGTTAGTGTGAGTCGTGTAGACAAATGTCTGTTACGGTGCATGTAACAACGGTGATTGGTGGTTTGTCTCAGTAAGGGATATGGCTAACAATTGATCTTATCGGTACAGATGTATCTATGGTCTCTCTTCAACCTAATTTTAATGCTCAATTTCAGTGTTATCTCATTATTCTCATTTGTTTTTGAAGGACTTTTATCATTTTTGACTGTTTTATTTCAAATTCCCTAATTTTTTCATGTTGGAGCATTCTTACATGATGTGCTGATGATATGAGTGTGACAATCTAACTTGCGCGGTAATGCTGGATCCTTTGTTAAGTTTTCATGTAAACCGACGACAACTGGTGTCCAGCAGGGATGTTCACTGTTACCGTCGCTATTTAACTTCGTTACAGACGTACTAGTGGACATAACCTTAGGTACGTCTGATTTCACAAGGGTTGACCTAATCCCCGGAGGTCATATGGTTGACTTGGAGTATTCAGGCGATATTGTCCTGCTAGGCTAGGGAAACGCATTGGCGAAATGCAGGATTGAGGAGAAATCTGAATATGTTCGGGATGCGTTTCACTGGCACCTGTCAAATGTAAGATGGTGATCTGGGACTGGTGTGCCGCAAGTATTTCCAGTTTAATGATAGGCTGTGAAATGGTGGAATATGTCGACCACTTCACGTACCTTAGGAGTTTCAACAGTCCAAACTGTCTGGTTGCCGACGCGATCTCAGTCAACTTGCGTTATCTGTGGCTCCGACTGGCGAGGTATCTGACTATCTATCAAAGGACAAGTATACTGTGCTGCAGTCCATTCTGTCTTTTGTACACTCGTATCTGAGGTTATACATCGATTTTGTCCGTAAGTCTACACCTCCAGACATACTTCAGAACAACATCCAAAGTTTTATCAACTTGTACCACATTCTAGTTTGCCTAACCGTTCTTTCTTTAGAACCTACTCATTCTTTGATTAATATAATGCACTTCATGGCAGGTGTTGGCTGTGCATAGCAAAACGTTATGTCCTAAGCGCTCCAGTCACTGAAGGTCCAAAACATTATCAACTCGCACTCTTGCTTGCTGTCCTACGTCTTACTTCGACATTGCCTACATTTTGATTTCATCAGTTAGGATATTTACGAAAGCTGCTAGAACGAAACACCCAACAAATACTGAACCCGAAGTTCTAAGATGACTTTCAAAACACCTAAACACGATTTTTGTTTTATTTCTACGTCCTCTGTTCTAGTAACTCTATTCTAGTTTTAATTTCTTGCTTATTTCAATGTAATTCATCTTAATGTCTTATAGCTTGATGTGTTGTTGCTATGTATTGCAACCTGGGCCGTTATAGAGTTGTATCGGTTCCTATGTTGCTACTTATTAATTGACGTTTATGTAGTTATTGTACTAAGCTATGGGACACATTCTGTGTGTTATTACACGCCCGAACTAGAGTGTGGCGCTGGAATTTGAACCGAGAGGGTATTTATTGAAAATCGAACACGTAAGGGAATGTACCGCACTCTCACAAACATAAATTCCACACCTAATGCATAGTCAACCTGATGTTATTGTGCAATAGTCCAGGTTACTATAACAACTCATATCAACGCGTCGAACTACATTAAAACAAGATGAATGATAGAGAAATAAGCAAGAAAGTAATCTAAACTGGTAGAACGTCATGAGAAGGGTAGAGAAGAGAAGTAAGCACAAAAACGGTCTCTGATATATAATGAAGAGAATACGTGGATGCATTTGCATCAATGTAATCGACTCGTAGCCATATCACCTGTTGCATCCAACAGCTGTTACAATAAGTCGATATTTGCCTAGACGACTCACTCTAACAGTCATAAACTTCATCCACTGATGTCATGGTTAGTTTGCCCACCTCTAACCTTTTTCCCAACCTAATCCTACATTCTGTTAGTAGTTTACTCAAACATTTAAGCCTGTAATAGATAACTCATAAGAAAAGTTGAATAACCTTTGGAATCTCATATTGAATGAGAACCTACGAAAAAGGTTATTAGAATTAATTGTCTTTTTTTTTCTCTCAAAATGTAGGTCTTCTTTAGAGTCATCATTAATGAATAATAAACAATTACAGGAGATCTCAAAAGATCCTTTATTAGCTCCTGGAAAACGTAAAGGTGCTAAGAAGACAAGAAGTGTTAAAGATCTATTCAATGATGTTGGCCCAGAAGCCTCATTTAAAGATAAACGTGGACGACCATGGTTTAAAAATCCACGAGCCTATGTCAAACAACAATTGATAGCCAAAGCAGAGAGATATGATAAAAAACAACATTCTGAGTCTAGTGACAGTGAAACATCTGGACGGATAGCTTCAGAAACGGAACCAAACACTTCATCTGATAGTGATGATGATGATGAGGAGAAAATTAACTTCTTTGAGGATATTGAAGATCTTCAAGGTGAGATCTATGTGTAATTAAACTATACTTATCTAATTGTGTCAGTTATGTGTGCTGACCAGGTGATATGATTAGCTATATGCCACTACCACCTGTCATTAGCATGTTTTGATCATACTGGTTACATAATTGAAGGTGAAATAAAAATTTACATCGCGGTAGATAATCAAAATGATTAACATTTTTCATTACTGAAGCTATTGTTTATTCAACTAGAGATGTTCAAGTGTAAACTGGTTCGTTTGATCATGACTTGGAAATCGATTCTCTTTTTTGTGTCAAGCCTACTGAAATCAGCTGTTATTACATTAGATGTGACTTTTGTTTTGCCCAACATGAATCTGTACATGATGTTTTTAAACTAACTGGTAAGCTAACTTGACCACTGTTCAACTTGATGTATGCTAAGTGATATATATATATATCCGTAAGTGTGGAAGTCCTGAACGCCATAAAGCTACTGAAATGCGGGAAAGCAGCAGGACCAGATGGGATACCGCCAGAAGCACTGAGAACAGATGCAGAGACAACAGCGGACATGCTCACACCACTATTGCAGAAGGTGTGGAAGGAAGAGAAGGTACCTGACGATTGGAAGAAGGGTTACTTTGTCAAACTGCCGAAGAAAGGAGACCTCAGTGCTTGCAAGAACTGGCGCGGAATCACTCTCCTGTCCACTTCAAGTAAAATATTAAGCCGCATCATCCTGGAGAGGCTTAAAGATGCACTGGATTCAAAACTGCGACCGGAACAGGCAGGCTTCAGGAAGTACAAATCATGTGCAGACCAAATTGCAACGCTTCGCATCATCATAGAACAGAGCTTACAATGGCAATCAGCTCTCTACCTCAACTTCATCGACTTTGAGAAGGCCTTTGACAGCGTCGACCGAGAAGTAATTTGGAAACTGCTTCAATACTACGGAGTACCGCAAACCTTTATCCGCCTCATTCAACAACTATATGAAGATGCCACATGCAGGCCAAGTAATTCACAATGGGAAGGAAGCTCAGTGATGCTTTTGAAGTGAAGTGAAGACAGGAGTGAAACAAGGTTGCCTACTATCCCCCATGATATTCCTGATTGTGGTGGACTGGATCATGCAGCAGACAGTAGGCAGAGAGAAGAGGGGGATACGCTGGACGGCGGAAAAGAACCTAGAAGACTTGGATTTCGCCGATGACTTGTGCCTGATGTCACATAAACTTGAAGATCTGCAGGCAAAAACTAACAAGTTGATAGAAGAGGCAGCGAAGACGGGACTTCAAATGAATATAGAGAAGACAGAAGTGATGAAGATACCGCACCACCACCATCAACAACAACAACAAACCCCAGTCACCATCAACGGGAGAAACTTGAAGGAAGTAACCTCCTTCACTTATCTAGGGAGCACTGTTTCAACTACAGGCGGGACGGACGAAGACGTCAAAGTCAGAATCGTGAAAGCAAGACAGGTGTTCATTAGCCTGAAACCAGTGTGGAGATCTTCTGCACTCAGCATGTGGAACAAGATACGGATTTTCAACACCAACGTCAAGTCAGTGCTCCTGTATGGTTCAGAGACTTGGCGCGTCACGAAAGGCATTTCCAATAAACTACAGACGTTCATCAACAACTGCTTACGCTGGCTCGCTACTGAAGATCAGATGGCCAGAAAGAATAAGCAACAAGGAACTCTGGGAACGAACCAAGCAAGAACCTATCGGTGAACAAATATGCAGGAGGAAGTGGAGATGGATTGGCCATGCACTGAGAAGGCCGACTGAGGACATCACGCGTCAGGCCGTCGAGTGGAATCCCCATGGGAAGCGACGAGTTGGGCGTCCTTGGCGAGGGTGACATGGAGAAGGTCGTGCGAGGAGGAAATGAGAGGTTGTGGGCTGTCGTGGAACCAGGTTCAAAAGATCTCAGAGAACAGGATGAAATGGAGACGTGCTACTGAAGCCCTATGTTCCACTAGGAACCCAAGGGACTAATAATAATAATAATAATATCCTTAAGTGTGATCCTAAATAGTTTACTTCCTGCTGAAATTATACTCAAGTTGTAATTGTTTAGTAAGAAAGGCATCCTGTTTTTTTATTAAAGGTGTTTAAGCAGACGTTTTCTCAGCAAATCATTATATAAATCAGTCAAATACTTTGTAAAGGCATTCGATAGCGTTGACCGAGAAGTAATTTGGCAGGCAGTTACTTCAACACTACAGTTTTAGTGCCACAAACCTGCTAAGTGATTGACAATGGAAAGCTGAGTGATGAAGTGAAGACACAGGTTGACAGGTAAGACAAGGTTGCTGGCTATTATCATGGATGACCTTCCTGATTGTTGTCGACTGGATTAGACTGGATCATGAAAAAAAACCGAGGGGAGCAAAAAGACGGGCATACGCTGTCCGACCGATGAAAAGACAAAGATCCTAGAAGATTTGGATTTCGCCGATGATGATGATGATGATTTATGTCTAATGTCTTGTGTCGCACAAACTCGAAGATCTACAAGCGAATACCAACAAGTTGGCAGAAGAGGTGAGGTGACGCAGCGAAGACGGCACTTCCTTTAGGTGAACGTAGAGAAGAGAGAGGTGATGAAGATATCAAACCAACAACAACAAGCACCAATCACGATGAACGGGAGAAATGTAAAGGAAGTTGTCTCTTTCGTCTACCTACCTGCCCAGGCAGCATCGTTTCAACTACAGAGGGTGGTGGCGGCACAGATGAGGATGTCAAAGCCAGCCAGAATCATTAATCTGAAATCACTGTGGAGGTCTATTGCACTGCACTACACTGGGCATAAAGCGTGAACAAGATCCTGATTTTCAACACTAAGTCAGTTAAATAAGTTAATACTTCTATGTAATGGTCGAGAGACTTCGCGATGCGTTACGTAAAGGATTCCGAACAAACTGCAGACATACATGAACAGCTGCCACCTACACTCACTTGATTCTGAAGATGGAGATCAGATGGCCAGAGTAATAAAAATAAGCAACAAGGAACTGACTCTGGCAACGAACCAACCAACAAATGTGTAGCAGAAAGTGGAGATGGATTGGATTGTGCATACATTAAGAAGACTATTTGGGGACATCACTCTACATGCCAGGTGCTGAAGGCTAGGGTGACATGGAAGAGATGGTGTAAGAAAGAAGTGAAAGGTTGTGGGCAGTGGTGGAGCCCAGGTTGAAGAGACTACAGAGAAGAGAGTGAAATAGCTATATACTACTGAAACCCCTATGTTCCACATCTGAAGTAAGCCCACTCAGTTGGTAGACAATGAGCCACACACCTACAGTGTGACGGCTAGTGATACTACTTGGCTGGTTGCTAAAACTTTGATAGGTATATTGTGGGTTCTAACCCATGACTTACTGGTTGGTAGTCATCTTCTAAAATCACTTAGCCATACCATTCAAATCTCTTCTCTAGTTTATTCATCAAGTATACATTTAAGTAAGAGAAAGATAAACACATGTGGAGCATATACAGACACTAGTCTTCCTAATTCTTATTATCTATAATCCAACTTTATTGTCTTTTATAGGTGCAGATTGGTATGAATTAACAAAGGATTCTACTCCTGCCATTCAATCAACTCATCGATTAGCTTTACTACATTTCGATTGGGATAATGCAAAACCTGAAACTATTTACATGATTCTCGAGTCATTTTTACCAGCTAGAGGACATATTGAAAAAGTTACAGTAAGTTATCGATTGAATATTTACTGTTTTCTAACATTTACAAAGAAAAATTCCATCTTTGTCTAATTGACATTAGTTGAAGGGTACTAGATGTGTCTTCTAAGATAAGCTAGTCGAGTAATGAAGTTGTCAATTGTAGTTGACTGAAATGGCTTGGATGTTGTACTGCACCAGCTAAGTCATTACAGCCTACCTAGATGTGCTAATCTAGGAAGTGAAGTTGGATTAGAATAGAATAGTATTCAAGTCCTTGACTGTTCACCTCAGGTGTATAAAGAAATGTAGACCATCTGTTTTGGGTCTATGAGACGAAAGCAATGATTGGTTGAGGAGTGACTCTCGGTGGGCTTCAGTAGCATGCCTCCATTGCACTTTGTTCTCTGAAGTCTTTTCAATCTGGCGCTACGACTGCCTAGAAGCTTTCATTTCTTCCTCATATCATCTCCTTCAACTCGTCGTTTCTTCTTTGCATTCCACTCGATGACCTCGCCTAATACATGATGTCCCCAATCGGTCTTCTCAGTGTATGCTTAATCCATCTCCATTTTCTTCCACTGCATATTTGTTGAGTGATAGGTTCTTGCTTTGTTGGTTCGTTGCCAGGCCAGAGTACCTTCCTTATTGCTTATTCTTTCTTGCCATCTATCTGATCTTCAGTATAGAGTGAGCATAGATGGTAGCTGTTGATGGATGTCTGTAGTTTATTGGAAGTGCTTTGTGAACCATCATATAGAAGCACTGACTTGACTGGATTGGTGTTGAAAATCAGGATCTCGTTCATACTTTATGCTGAGTGCAGGTCTGTCCTACTTTTCCGATCCTAGTTTGTGCCTGTGCTGCGTGTAGTTGAAGCGATGCTGTGCAGGCTAATTAGGTAGGTGAAGGAGATCACTTCGTTTAGGTTTATATATATACATATATAGTATACACTCAATAATGTAGTCTGTATCTTGTTATAGTACAAGAAAGTTGTGTTTTATTTCTCTTCGTCAAACGACCGATCATCTTGCTTGCTTACTTATTTTATATTTCCTTCATTCGATTCATTTTATCACTTCTATGTGTGTATGTTTATGTCTTACTTTTCAATACAACCATCTAGATATATCCATCAGAGTATGGTATTAAACGTATGGCTGAAGAAGCTATTCATGGACCACCTGAATTACGTCCTAGTGAATCAGATATAGAATATAATGAAGATATTACTACTCTACCAATAGATATTGATGAAAAATCTGGTTGGTGTAATGCATCATCAAAATTACGACGTCGTATTCGTGAATATCAATTAACTCGTTTAAAATATTTTTATGCTATCATAGAATTTGATAGTATTGAAACAGCAGAAATAATCTATTCAACTTGTGATGGTCTTGAATATGAAAGTTCTGGATCAAGATTAGATTTACGCTTTGTTGACAATGATCAACGCTTTGAAGTGAGTACATATTATTATTATTATCGCTGTTAATTGGTGTTATTGTGCCATTCGTGTCCGTCCCCCCCCCCCCCCCCTAAGTCCAAAGTAACAATAATTATAGTAATAATAATACAATGATCTTAATAGCTATCACCCAAACAACAAACTCCAGTCACCATCAACGGGAGAAACTTAAAGGAAGTAGCCTCCTTCACCTATCTAGACAGTACTGTCTCAACTACAGACGGCACATACCAGGACGTCAAAGTCAGGCAGGATCGGAAAAGCAAGACATGTGTTCATTAACTTGAAACCAGTGTAGAGATCTTCTGCACTCAGTATGTTGAACAAGATTCGTATTTTCAACACCAATCCATTCAAGTCAGTGCTTCTGTATGGTTCAGAGACTTGGTGCGTTACGAAAGGGATTTCCAACAAACTACAGACATTCATCAACAACTGTCGCCTACGCTCACTCATTACTGAAGATCAGATGGCCAGAATAATAAGAATAAGCAACAAGGCACTCTGAAAACGAACCAACCAAGAACCTTTCGCTGAACAAATATGCAGAAGGAAGTGGGGAAGGATTGGGCATACACTGAGAAGGCCGACTGGGGGATATTACACACCAAGCTAGGTGCTCGAGTGGAACCCCAATGGGAAGCGACGAGTTGGGCGTCCTAGGTTAGGGTGACATGGAGGAGATCGTGCGAGGAAGAAATGAGAGGTTGTGGGCTGTCATGAAGCCAGGTTGAAAAGTTTGCAGAGAACAGAGTGGAATGGAGACGTGCTGCTGAAGCCCTGTATGTTCCATTAGGGAACCCAAGGGACAAATAATAATAATAATAAATCTTAGTAGCAGTAATGATCATAATGATAATTATAATAGTAACGATATCAATCGTAATAATAGTAATAGTGTCATAACAATAAGTTCCTGCAAGAACTCGAGCATAATCATGCTGCTGGAGAGAGACTCAACAATGCTCTACATTCAAAACTGCGACCACAACAGGCTGGCTGGCTGGTTGGCTTAGGGAAGTACAAATCATGTTCGGATCAAATTGCAACGCTACGCTACGCATTATCATATAACTCAACTGTACATCAGCTTCACCGACTTTGAAAAGGCATTCGATACCGTCGACCGAGAAGTAATTCGGCAGGCAGCTGCTTTAACACTATGGTTTGACTTCCACAAACCTTTATCAACCTCATTCAACCGTAGCTATATGCTATATGATGAGGCTACATGGCAAGTGATTGACAATGGAAAGCTGAGTGATGCCTTTGAAGTGGAAACAGGTTGACAGGTAAGACAAGGTTGCTGGCTACTATCACCGATGATCTTCCTGATTGTGGTCAACTGCACTGGACTGGACTAGACTGGATCATGCAACAAACCATGAAGAGGTGTGAGAAGATGGGCATACGCTGGCTATCTGACGGATGAAAAGACAAAGACCCTGGAAGATTTGGATTATGATGATTTATGTCGAATGTCTAATGTCGCACAAACTCGAAGATCTACAGGCGAAAATGGGGTTGGTAGGTGAGGTGAGACGAGGCAGCGAAGACGGCACTTCCTTCAGGTAAACGTAGAGAAGATATAGGTGCTGAAGATACCCAATCAACAACAACAACAGATGCCAATCACGATGAACGGGAGGAATGTAAAGGAAGTTGTCTCTTTCACCTGCCTACCTACCTACCTACCTACCTACCTACCTACCTACCTACCTACCTACCTACCTACCTACCTACCTACCTACCTACCTACCTACCTACCTACCTACCTACCTACCTACCTACCTACCTACCTACCTACCTACCTACCTACCTACCTACCTACCTACCTACCTACCTACCTACCTACCTACCTACCTACCTACCTACCTACCTACCTACCTACCTACCTACCTACCTACCTACCTACCTACCTACCTACCTACCTACCTACCTACCTACCTACCTACCTACCTACCTAGGCAGCATGGTTTCAACTACAGGTGGCGGCGCCGGCACAGATGAGGATATCAAAGCAAGCGAGAATTGGAAAGACAGCAAGACAGGTCTTCCTTCATTAATCTGAAATCAGTGTTCAGATGTACTTTGATATCAGTCATTTTCGATCCACCTGTTGATATGTGAAAACTTGAGAACGAAATTCTTCAGTGATTTTGATAATCAGTTTTAAAGTGGTTAGGTGCATCTTTCATGACTATTTCTTATTTTCCTCATCTTATTCCACTACTTTTCTTTTGGGATATAGGGAATATATTTCTTTGTGCTCATGTTTTTTTTTTCGGGTGGTGATGATGGTGGAAGTTGAAGGGTTCTTAAACTAATATGCTAACCATAGATTTCTATGTTCTCACCGAAACTGTAAGTAGAATACTACTACTAATAATAATAATAACTTATGTTTTAGGTGCCTGCAGAATATGCTCATCTAGTAAGTGAATGTCGAGAAATTAATAAAGCGAAATATACGCCTATTCGATTTGAAACAAATGCTTTGCATTCAACACGAATTGGTATAACTTGGGATAAAACACCAATTGAAAGAACTAATTGGTTACGTGATCAATTTCGTACAGATGTTGATCCTAAAACTACTCTAACTAAGAACAAAGATGAGGTAAATTAAACTTCTAGTAGTATTTTTATTTATATTGATGATTGAAGTGAAATCAAATTCTGGTCAACAGTCGGATATTGTAGGTCAGTTAGTGGGCTGGTAACCCAGTGGTGGTTGCTGGTTCGAATCCAACCGCGGTCTAGATTTTCATCTCACCTTATTAGCTTAGAATTTAACTGACTAATTATTAGTGTGTATGTCAATGCTTGGCGCGTCACAATAACTACTCCTGACAAACTACACATACATTCATCAACAGCTGCTACATACGCTGGCTCGATACTGAAGATCAGATGGCCAGAAAGAATAAGTAACAAGGAACCCACTCTGACAACGAACTAACGAAGAAAGAACCTATCACCCAAAAAATATGCAGGAGCAGAAAGTGGAAATGGATTGGGCATACACTGAGAAGGCTGACTGGGGACACCATACGCCAAGCCAGGTCCTCGAGTGGAATCCAAACGGGAAGTGACGAGTTGGACATCCGAGGCGAAGGTGATTATGAAGGAGATGGTAGGAGGAAGAAATGAAAGCTTATGAGCAGTTTTGGCACCAGGTTGAAAAGACTGCGGAGAAAAGAGTTCAATTGAGGTGTCCTACTGAAGCCATCTGTTCCACTAGGAACCCAAGGGAAAGATAATAATAATAATCATTATTACTGTATAATCCTGCAAGATGTCACACGCGTCCAGTGACAAAGCACTAGATGATGGTATAAGATGAAGGAACGAAGGTGAATCGATTAAGTACAAAAGGAAATGAATAAAGGACAGGAAGTATGCATACCTAACATAGAAGTAGCTTTAAACTTGGTGGATATATCAACTCCTGAACAGATCGGAACACTTTTTTTAGTACAAGGGTTTTTTTTATATGATACCGTTGTTGATTGGACCGAACTGATCGGTCTCTATTAGCATATGGGCTCCTGTGCGAATGCCTCGATATTGCCATGGATCTAATTGTGTTTATGATGAATCGTGGCTAGCGATGGAATCCAGGATGCGCATTTTGTCGCATTTGGGACGTTTGAAGCGATCGCTCCTGAGTCCGAATCTCGGTGGAAACAACATCACTCACTTGGAAGCAGGTACATCCAGCTGACGAGTCCCAAATGGGACGAAATTCGCATCCTGGATTCCACTGCTAGCCACGATCCATCCTTAACATAGATTAGAACACCGTTATATTTTCATACGCCAATGGTTATATCGCTCAACAAATATGCAGAAGGAAGTGGAGATGGATTGGGCATACACTGAGAAGGCCGACTGGGGACATCACTCCTCAGGCCAGGCCGTCTAGTAGAACCCCGATGGGAAGCGACGAGTTGGGCGTCCTAGATTAGGGTGACATGGAGGAGATCGTGCGAGAAAGAAATGAAAGGTTGTGGGCTGTCATGTAGCCAGGTTGAAAAGTTTGCAGAGAACAGAGTGGAATGGAGACGTGCTACTGAAGCCCTGTATGTTCCATTAGGAATCCAAGGGACAAATAATAATATAATAGTGGTTATATGTATTCTGAAGGAATATAATACGCACGCTTAGCTGACAGCTAACTTAGTACGCGAAAGCCACTGACTACTAACCGGGTTGAATAGAGAGAAGATCCAAGCTCGGTGATAGGAGAGTTTATTCCTCGGAGAAGATAATGATGATAAATCAGTCGCAAAACACGTGAATATAACCTCCCCAACTTTAGATATTTGCATAATAATAATAAGCAATGAGCGATTTACATTACAATGGGGGCAGAAAATAAGCTACTGGTCATACCGTAAAAATGGTGTGACAATGAAATAATAGAGAATATTTGTAGCTCAGGTGGATGGTTTTGGTGATATTGTTTTCTGTGAACTGGGTTGTTTAATCGCAGAGAAACTTTCATTATCTTTCTGGACGACATCATCCACAACACTAACTTCAGTATGAAGTCAGCTACCTGTCAAAATCTCTCCGTGAGTGATTTAGTAGCTTGCTCTGACGATGTGGTCTGTGATTGGTTGTTTCCTTCTATTATTGTGTCATTGACTGGCTACATAGACTTTCCTGTTGGTTGTTCCTCTGTTTGAGGAGTGGGTGATATCGCTGTCTAGAAAGACGATGAAAGCTTCTTCACGATTAAACAACAAGCCAGCTCCTCAGAGAACACAATACAACCAAGGTAGAGTAGTGTACTCACTCCACACCTCTTAAAATAAGAGACACTGTTATAAAAACGGAATTAAACGCTGGTAAGTGTGCTTGTGTTTTAGACCTTGACCACAAGTGAGCACCTGATCGATAAACTGACGACCAGTTCTGAAATGTGTCTGGTTCTCTCAAGTTTGCTTCTTATAGGATTCGTTTAGGCGTCTATTAATCATACAAGCTAGAATCCTAGACACTATGTTCGTTTGATTGCTTCTCCTATGATTTTCACAGCAAGATTTCTCTCCCTTCTTGAATACCAGAACAATTACCAATGAAGAATAGCTACTGATAATCATATTTCATTCCTTTACATGGTGCATCGATTAGTTCAAAAGAAGATGGTTAGATCCAATTCGCCTTTGGTTGTATTGTGTTCTCTGAGCTGGGTTGATGCAACAAGCAAAGAAGACGAATCGAATATCATTTACAAAATCAACTACAATAACTGTAATCAACACTACATTGAACAAAGTGGTCGCCCACCTTCACCTTCGTCTACATCAACACCGATTGGCTATTAAACGTCATGACATTTTGTCACTCATTTCAATATACGTGGATAATTATGCACATGAGAATTCATTTTGGACAATACAGAAATCTTGGACGGATAGAGGAAACACAAAGAGAAGCTTGGCATTCAGTTCAGTCAATCAGCAATCAATAAATGCATAGACATAGACCGCAGTCTATCAACCAATAAAAAAGATGATAAACGAAAGGTCAGAGGTCAAGCAGAGGGACTGCCAGCAGGAAAATCTATGCAGTCAATCAATGATACAACAATTAAAGGAAACAACCAATGACAGACGATATCGTCAGAGCAAGCCATTAAATCACTCACGGAGAGATATTGACAGCTTACTTCATACTGAAGTTAGTGTTGATGGTATCGGTGTCTAGAAAGACGATGAAAGCTTCTCCACGATTAAACAACAAGCCAGCTCCTCAGAGAACACAATACAACGAAGATGGTGTGAGAATGCTAAATCTAAATGGTTCGACTCATAGTTGACTTGAGAAATGCCCCCCAACATATGAACTAACAAACTGCTTAGTATCAATATTGTGTCGTACTAGAAACCGTTCTTATTCTAGACTGGTAAATTCTTAGGAGTTTCAATCAAGGCTCAATGACCTACATATAGAGGAAGATGAAAAAATGGTTAGTTTCAATGTAATAAGCCTATATAGTAAAATACCAATCAATATGGCACTGGAGACAGTCACAAGTCAACTATATATTGACTCAGAACTAAGATATCGGTTGATGAGATTATATTAGGCGTACTGTTGTGCCTGACCTCCACAGTCTTCAATTTTCAGCACAGAATATACAGACAAACAGAAAGAGTAGGAATGGGATCCCCAATCTTAGCAGATATCATCCTGTATGTAACATATGATGACGATGCATATGTGATACATTTACTCTGTTGAAATTGGAACAATATCAACAATTTCTTCACACATCAACTCACTAGTAGACATAATTCAATTCTCACTTACATGGAGGTAGTAGATGAACAAGGAGAATTATCTATGTTGAATTGCAGGATAAAATGAGGGGCAGACGGTAGTTTGAATACTAACGGGTATCCAAACTTCATCTCATCTTATCCAATATCAGTTATGGCAGCTTCGATCAAATATTTAAACAAGGAACTGAAGTACATAGAAAAAAAGCACTAATAGTTAATAATTATCCTCTACAATTTATTCAGAAATTCCTGGGAATACACAGGAAAAGAAATGATGATAACAGTAAGACGAGTACAAGTAATAACGACAATACAAGGTGAAAGGAATTTAAAGCTTCCATCGTATTGCCCTATAAGAAAGGTACATGAGAAACTTTAGGAAGGATTCTTAACACAGCTGAAATGATAGTGGTATTTAAACCTACAAATTCACTTAGAGATAACCTTTGTCTATCGGCTTAAGGATCTGATAGAACCAATTTAAGCCAAACTATCTAATTTATGAAATTTTATGTAATGACTGAGAAGTGGAGATGGATTGGGCATACACTGAGAAGGCCGACTGGGGACTTCACGCGCCATGCCAGGTACTTGAGTGGAACCCCAATGGGAAGCGACGAGTTGAGCGTCCAAGGGTGACATGGAGATCTTATGAGGAAGAAATGAGAGGTTGTGGGCTGTCATGAAGCCAGGTTGAAAAGTTTGCAGAGAACAGAGTGGAATGGAGATGTGCTACTGAAGCCCTGTATGTTCCATTAGGAACCCAAGGGACAAATAATAATAATAATAATATGTAATGACTGTGAGTGAGATGAAGTACATAGGTCAAACTCGCCCGTCGAGGTCAGTTAGATTAGCGGAACATAGGAATTTAGCTAAATGCAGAATGACAGACCCGAATAAGATCAATAATCTAGAAAGTAACTCGGCTATTGGAATGGATTCACATGCACGCACAACTACACAACATTGGGGGGGGGGGGATAAAACCCACTGTACTCTAGTCCAATACAGTTCGATGGGGAGAGAGAGAGAGAGAGGGAGATTGATTACCGAATCTTTGTTCATTTAATTCAACAACGTATGTGGAATAGGAATGACGCAACATCTATACCAAAGTGCCCACATTTTGCACTTATATTCAAGAAAGAAAACAGAGGAACAGAGTTTAGCATGTCGATTCTAAGCTACATCAAGTAGCGTTTTCGAGCACTAATAGTTTCTGTTTGTGAAGCGAATCTCCCCCCACCCCTACACGGCTTAGATCAACAGTCACCTCTGAACATTTTCCAGTCTTACTGGACTTCAACTAACATCCTGTGATGAGATAGACGATGATTAGGTATGTGTAACACTTATGTCCTTGGTATCTTACTCGATGAAGGTTTACAGTCACACCAACTGACATACAACAACATGATGAGATTTAGTCAACCCTTGATGAATTAATCTATCTGAAGCGGTTCTACACGAGCTTATTAATCACTGGTAACGGTTTCTAACTATTTCAAGTTGTTATTCATCGTAAACTGACATCAGTTGGAGGAACAGAAGAAATCTAGGAGCACTGGGCAGCTGTTTCGTCTTAGTATGGGACTCTTCAGCAGTGCACACCCACGATCCCGCCAGGAATTATAGGTTCCATGGCCAGCACATTACCATTGAGCTAGCCATTGGGTCACAATCCAATGACCGCCCCCCCACCGGCCACCACTTCTCATTGGAACTTGGGGAATACCTCTCCAAGCTAGTCACCAATGAGCACCAGTTCAATTGAATTTTGAAGGAGTGAGTAGTGGGGATTTGGAAATACATATGCATCAAGTTGTTATCCTAACTATTTTCCACTGGAGACGATGCTAGTTCACATTTCTGATAGGATATCATTTCTATTCTGGTGACTAGTTCTAGTCAACATAAATACATATACTTTCATACTGAAGTTTTGTTTTATTCTATTGTATTGTTATTCCTTTACATATTTAGCTATCTAAATATCTAGTTCTTTCTTCAAGTGGTGCAAGTACATTGGCTAGTTCAGATGTTGAATCAGAACCACCTGCATCTACAGTTCCTAGAATTCATCGTCATCGACCGAAAAAACTTCCACCAGCTGAATTACGTTTAGCATTATTAGGTTTAACTACTTCGAATGACATAATTCATTCAAATGAAAATCAGTCATTAATAAATAATAAAGAAAATATAATAGAAGACGATGATGATGATGAAGAAGAGGAAGAAGTCTTTGATCTTGTCAGAAATAGTCATGATGATTCTCAAACTGAAGACTATGATCTACAACCAATTGAAAAGAAGACTTCTAAAGAAATATGTAATTTATCAAGAAAAAAAATTCATCGAAAAGTATTACTAGAAGCTCAAGATTCTCATGATGATGATGATGATGATGATGATGATAATCCACCTGTTTCTGATGAAGACACTATCAATAATAATGATATGAATAGGGAAAAAAACAATGAAATAGGTCAACATCAAAATAAACGAAAGAAAAGGTTGAAACAAGTAAGTATTGATATTAATTTATACTTATGAAATTAGAAGTCTCATTAATCAGCTGATATCAATATACTGCACGGCTGATGAGTCTTATACTAGTTGGACGAAACAGTTATCCCTATTGTTGCTAAGTTTCCAATATACCATTATTATTCAACTGGGCTCCACCACTGCCCAGAAGTTTTTATTTCTTTCTCACATCATCTCCTCCATGTCACTCTTGACTCAGATGCCTAACTCATCGTCTCCCATCTAGGTTTCACTCAAGGGCCTAGCCTCTCATGTGATGTCCCTAAGCGGTTTTTTAAGTGAATGTTCAATCCATCTCCACTTCCTTCTTCTGCATATGTGTTAGTTGGTTCGTCGCTAGCCAGTTAGAGTTTCTTGTTGCTTATTGTTTCTGGTCATCTATGTGATCTTCAGTAACGAGCCAGCGTAGGCAGTTGTTGATGAATGTCTGTGGTTTGTTGTAAGTGGTTTACATGACACGCCAAGTTTCTGAACAATCATATAGAAGAACTGACTTGACGTTGGTGTTGAAAATCCGCATCTTGTTCCACATGCTGAGTGCAGAAGATCTTCACACTGGTTTCAGGTTAATGAAAGCCTGTCTTTCTGATCCTGCCTGGCTTTGACATACTCGTCTGTGCCTCATATAGTTGAAACAGTGCTGCCTGGATAGGTGAAACAGGCTACTTCCTTTAAGTTTCTCCCGTTAATGGTGATTGCTGCGTCTTGTTGTTGTTGGTTGGGTTATCATCTTCACCAGTGTCTTCTCTATGTTCACTTGAAGTCCCGTCTTCGCTGCCTCGCCTCTTTTGTCAATTTGTTAGTTTTCACCAGTAGATCTTCGAGTTTGTGCGACAAGACATTAGATATAAATCATCATCGTTGGAGAAATCGAAATCTTCTAGGGTCTTTTCATCGGCCCAGCATATCCCACTGTTCTCGCTCCTCACGGTTTGCTACATGATCCAGTCGACCACAATCAGGAAGGTCATAGGTGGTAGTAGGCGGTGGCCTTGTCTTCACTTCAAAGGTGTCAGTGAGCTTTGTATTGTGAATTACTTGGCATGTGGCCTCTTCATATAGTTGTTAAATGAGGTTGATACACGTTTGTGGTATTCCGTAGTGTTGGAGCAGTTTCCAAATTACTTCTCGGTCGACGCTGTCGAAGGCCTTTTCAAAATCGATGAAGTTAAGGTAGAAATAAATTGCCATGAACTCTCAAAATCCAATGGATCTAGTACTCATTGGTGATTAGCTCCAACAGGTGATTCCTGAAGTCCCATTGAAAAGACGCGACCGGTTGGGTTAAACCTGATGGCTATAAGGTGATGATTGCGCTATGTGATGAACTAACAGAAGTTGGAAATATGGATCCATTGGATTGTAACCCAGTGGCTGGGGGGGGGGGCGTTCAATGGTTACGTGCTGGCCAGGGAACCTGAAGGCCATGAGTTCGATCCCTGGAGGACTGTGTAATGGGTGTGAACTGCTAAGCAGTTGCTTCAATTGGTGTCAGTTCATGATGAATAGTATTTCATATCGAGATGAATTGATCTGCAGCACAGAACATCTTCAAGCTATCTCAGTCGACTTGCTTATCTTACTGCCTAGTACATACACTGATTTCACCAAACATGAGCACTACTACGAGAACATAGATGATCAAAAACTCAATGATCGATTCATTTCATGTACTTTCAGCGATCATATCTCATAGTTGTATAACAGGAGAGAATGAACCATACCATAGTATTAACCATCCTATTGCTTAGCTATTATCACTCAATCCATATAAATAGGGTTAGTTCAAAGGAAGAAATGTGGTAATTTTATGTAATGAGGCTGTGTAGATGAAATGATCTTGAATCTTGATGAGATTAACATGTTTCTGATTTGATAATACGCCTTAATAATGTTCTATCTTTCATATCTCATGAAATAGTCTTACGGTATTGTTCATTCATTGAACATATAACTGATCATATCGATTTCCTCTATGATTAGTTTGTTGAAACGAAATGAAATATTTAGTTTTCATTAGATTTGTTAATATATTCTCAACTATGACTTATTTGTTACGGGGAAGGTGACTTTTATGGGGTTCGAACCTTATTGTATATCTACCAAAGTCTAAACAGTCAGGTAGAAGTATCATTCGCTCTAATACAATATGTATAACTCATTGTCTGCCTAGTCTGTACCAATTTTACTCAATGTTGCTAAGTACGTTTCAATTCGCTACTATATTTGGTTTTCTTGCCCAACACTCATAAACTGGATTTGTTTAGAATATCGCATTGTTGATTGGTTCTATTGTTTAACTGACTGACTATACCGCTGACTCATTGGCCGACTGACTGACTGGATGGCTGACTCACTGACCGATGGACTGACTGGATGGCTGATTCATCGACTGGCTGACTGACTGGTTGGCTGACTCATTGACCGACTGACTGACTAGATGGCTGACTCATTGAGTGATTGCGTCTTAGTTGATGTGCATTATTTAATTCCTGTTTGTGATGAACATGATCTTCAGCTATCGTTAGTGTGTTGTGCTTCATGGATTTAGAAACTTGACCTCGAAAGAATAGACCCTTAGCTCGTGGCTTACTTCACGTATTTTGACCCGATCAATTAGATGGTATCATCTCCATTCCAGTAAGATTGTTCTTTTGAAGATTAAAATTCATTTCACTATACATTCACAATTCTTCTTTCTTTCTCTCCCATTTCTCATAGTTTCTTATCTTTTGATAATAATAAATTTTTAGCGTGCTAAAATGTTGGAGAAGAAGCGAAAAGTTCAAGCAAGATTAGAACGTGAATCAAAACTGGTATGTATTTTCTTGAATTAACCACCTACTTTTTTCTGCCTATATGAGCTGATAGCAAAATATGCTAGTTATTTTAATACACTACTTATTAACTTTATCAGTAGTTTGAACAATACGCTTGAAATTTGACTTTCAAGTCAGTAGACCAATGTAGTCAGATGTATAGTGAGAGTAACTGAATTAATGACACTGTTATTTTTCTTTAAATCAGTAAGACAGTGTACCCTTATATGCTTGTAAATCACGGAGATCCTGTCTAATAGTCACACATATCCCTTACACATATAAACTGGAAGTAAAAAAACTTCATGAAATGAAACCATATCTTGGTCTAGTTGTGTTTCCATCTAGCTCTGATACTCTGGACAGTATAGTGTTTCCAAGTTAGTGGTAAATGGTTGATTGAAATGTATCCTGATGATGGAGGCTTGCAACTGCACCAAATAATTGACCATTCTTACCTCCATTATTTGTATACAATACTTAGATGATACACACGACTTCAACGGGCTACTGTCTATGTATTCTACCTACCTACCTACCTACCTACCTACCTACCTACCTACCTACCTACCTACCTACCTACCTACCTACCTACCTACCTACCTACCTACCTACCTACCTACCTACCTACCTACCTACCTACCTACCTACCTACCTACCTACCTACCTACCTACCTACCTACCTACCTACCTACCTACCTACCTACCTACCTACCTACCTACCTACCTACCTACCTACCTACCTACCTACCTACCTACCTACCTACCTACCTACCTACCTACCTACCTACCTACCTACCTACCTACCTACCTACCTACCTACCTACCTACCTACATCTCTAGAGACAGGCCTTACGACTCACACAAGTCTTTTACGACTATGCTTTCAGAAGTTTCAGGTTTTTGAAGCATTCACAGTGGTTAGAGTGTCAACAACAGAATGTTTATAAAAAAAAAAACCAGATTCTTACCCTGACATCAAGTAAATAAGTAAGGCGTATACTCTCATACTTGTCTACAGACTTTGTTAAATTTATCTGTTTATTTTCTTTTATTATTCCCATACAGTGGCTAGCAGATGATAACTCCAATGAATTATGTATTGATGATCGTTTTGATGAATTTCTACGCAATCCTGCCTTTGAAATTAGTCAAACACATCCTGATTACAAGGAGGCTAGTGATTTTCTACATTATATGAAATAAGAAAATCTAAAATTATTTAATACAAAGCAATAAATTATTTAAGCCTATTTTATTGAATATTTCAACTATTGTACAGTTTTGATAACATTTACTCCTTATCTTTTTTGTTTGTATCTCCCTTTGTCGATGATGATGATGATGATGATTACTTAGACAGGGATGTGTTCTTTGCCAGCGTCAATTGCTGGTACTGCTATGGGTTGATATGTTTGTTACCTTGTATCCTTTCCCTATTCAGATCATATTGGAATCAGTTATCGATGGTATGAATGTATTCAGGATTGCCTTTCCTTCTTGGTTGACCTGTTTGGACTGGTCTAAAGCCTCAAATGGCGCCCGGACTAAGTAACCTACCTCCTCCTGGTCGATAGCTGATTGTATATCACAATGACCTATGTGGCTATGCTGATGGATTGGTTGTTGCTTACTACCATGCCGGGAAAGTCTGTTGGATAGTGGTGGGGTAATAAGTAAAGCAGTTTACATTGCCGCACTATGATGGGAGCCTGAGGGCGAAGTTGTACTACTGCTAGCTGGATGGGGTGTGACTGCAGTAAGGTTTTTCCCAGTAGTGCGACGCTGATACTGCTTTCTCAGTGAAAGAGGGAGGCAGAGAAAAGTTTGACCCCAGAAATAACACACACCACGATCTTCAAGTGCCGTCGCTATGGGTTCTGTCTATCTGTTGTTAGAATAACCAAACTGGCCGTTTCTGGCAGGGAGCCCACTGTTCCTATTCCACTTCGTGATATGCGAAGCATTGGTCATAACCTTAAGTACGTCTGACTTGTTAGGGATTAACCTACTCCTTTGACGTCGACTTTGAGTTTTGAGACGATATTGTCCTCCTAGGTTAAGGGAAGACACTGACAAATAACAATGTGTTCTGAACGCGTTGAGCAGAAATCTGAATGTGTTTAGGATGCATTTTGGTGGTACCTGTCAAATGCTCAAGGACTGATGTACAAAGACACTTCCAGCCTAATGATGATGGGGAGTGAATTGTTGGAATGCATCGACTACGTCAACTACATCAACGCAAACGGGCAGGTCAGTGAAGCAATCTCGGCTAAGATACAGTAGGCTTGTCTGGCGTTTATCAACTTCCCTCATCTGTACAGTTGACTGACGAGATATACGAGTATCCATCAAAGGACGTGTATTGTGCCTTGTAATGCGTTTTATCCTGTTGTATGGCTGGCTGTTAGGCAATTCGGAGTAGTCCATTGGTGTGCGGCAGTATACATCCTATCCAAATTATACTCAGTCGGTAATCAATATCCCCATCTCTTCGTCCCCATACTGTACCAGCTTTGCTTTCTTATCATTTATAATAATGTTAATGGTACATTTCATCTGGGATATCCGAACGCAGTCGGCTTAATTTCACGTAAAAAGCTTAAATCGAATCACCATATCTGTCTATAGTATGTGAGTATCATGTAGAGCTACGCCACAAGGGGTATTAATTTGGGTGCTTTGTAGAGAATCGATTCATGAGAAATAGGTGTTCATCGTGAATTAAAACTAACGTAATTTTAGGATCCACCCACCACCGCTATATGCTCTGATGAGTATCTTATCCCATCAGTCGACCTTCATCCACAAACCCATCGTGATTATCTCCACAGGTTACATCCTTCAATTAGACATTAATCGTAAGACTCATAGAAGTTTTCATTTGAAAAGTGATGCTAATTTACGACACTACTTGCTAAAAATGAGTAGTTTAAAATATAAAACAAAAAAATCGACGCCTAAAATTCTAACCGTAAAACTTTGTAGTCAGCAGCCGGGACCGCTCTCTGGTGTTCAGTACCGATAGTCAATTCTACATTGCAACTACCAAGCTACGCAATTCTATTGAATCAGCTCCCATCAATGTTATCCAGTAGACAGCATGACGTTCAGTATTTCGTATATAATATTTGTCTGTCTCAACGATTCCTACAGTTCGTCAGTCAGTAGTAATAGTTGCTGTATAACAGTTTACTTCACTGAACCACACTTGAACAACTTCTTCCAACAAACACTGAATTGTATTTTAGATAGCATTCATCATGGAGTGATATCATTTGGGGAACCTGGTGGCGTTGAGCAACTCTTACTTCCTAGTATGGGTCTCCCCAGCTGTGTGCACCTATCGGGGTTCGAACTCAGGTCCTACGACAAATGTTCCACATTATACCACTGCTGTCAGTTCATGGTAAAACAGCACAGCCTCCATCCGACTTGGTTTGCTCCACCAGTGGCCATAACTTCGAGAAGTCTTATCTCAAAGTATTTCACCAATGAAAGGCAAACAGTAATCTAGTTTGCAAGTTTGTGGAGATGTATTCTGTTTCATCACTAGGATATTTGACGACTAGTCATCTTAAAGTTTGCTAGGCTCAACTTCGGGGAATCTTCAGGGTTATTAGTTACGAGTTTCCATCCATCTTTGACTGAAATAGGTTTTAGTCACAAATGAAAGAGTTTTTGTATCGATCGGTCACTTATTTTCTTATAATTTCAGCATTGCACATAACTGACACCCAGAGATAACGAACAGTTACAATGGACTGAGCGGATGATAGCAGTATGATTCAGGACGCGCATCCTCTCCAACTAAAGATTTGTCAGCCGGATGTACTTTCATCGCCTAAAAGTGACGGTGTTCATACATGGACTAGATTTATTATTATTATTATTATTATTATTATTATTATTATTATTATTATTATTATTATTATTATTATTATTATTATTATTACGTAAACATGGTACAGCAATGGCACCGAGAAATGCGCCACACAGGCAGTTGTGATGCACCCACAGATGCTAATCCGATACAACTATCTTTCATCTCACTGCACCATGTCACATGTTGAACACTGCTGTGCTTCTTCCATTCACTAGCCCGGGGCTAGCAGACAGGGAACAGTATGGAAGCTGTTGGGACGACATAAGTCCAAGCCACTGAAACCGAGTGACTATCTCCATTATGCGCTAATATATGTTTGCCGCTGGACACGACCAATTTTACGGAGACATAACGATGACCGAACACACAGAGTCGTCGCACAGCCTCAGTTCGGAGAGGCCAAGTTTCACAGGCGTACAGCAGAACTGCGCACATTGAAGCGTTTTAAACTCGATATTTTACGGTTAGATCAAGGTCGATACGATGCAAAAAGTTAAACTAGATCACTCATGCCTTCACCAGCAGTCACACAGATACACGACCTTGACGGCTTCTAACCTCTCACTGCTGAGGGCGAGCACAGGCTCCTGCCAATCTTCCAAAAGCAGTTCAATAGTACAAAGCACATACCATGTTTACCTTAACTCGAACCCCGCAGCCGTCGCTGAGGTACGAAAGCCACTCACTTCCTGTGCAACTGACGCAACGCATGCCCTGCAATGTACTGCCAGCTGCGACTAAGTCAGTTATAACTCGATGAATATTCCGGTAATATTTAGTTATCCGCATACGAGCCCATACTGCCAGCAGACGTCCATAAATTTGATCCAGCACATCATTGGGATATTACAAGTATCTAATTGTACATATACATGCTTCATAGGATAAAAAATGTGAAACTTAGTAAGGCTTATTGTCTCTCTTCGATTGTATGGATGCTAGTAAAGAAAAATGATGTAGAGATCTACTGCACTCAGTATAAAGCATGAACAAGATCCGGATTTTCAACACTAATGCCAAGTTCATTTCAGTGCTTCTATGTGATGATTGAAAGACTTGGCGGCGCGCATTTCCAACAAATTACAGACATACATGGATAGCTGCTGCCTATGCTCACTCGATAGTGAAGATCAGGTAGGTAGCCAGAAAGAATAAGCAGTAAGGAACTCACTCTGGCTTGGCAATGAACCAACCAACCATCGTCTATTAAATATGCAGAAGCAGAAAGTAGAGATGGATTTGGAATACACCGAGAAGACTGTTTGGGGACATCATGTGCGAGGCTAGGCCCTGAATGGGAAACGACGAGTTGGGTGTCCGAGGTGAGAATGATATGGGGGAGATTGTGTGAGGAAGAAATAAAAGCCTGTGGGCAGTCGTGGAGCCAGGTTCAAAAGACTGCGGAGAACAGAGTACAATAGAGGTGTGCTACTAAAGCCGTACGTTCCACTAGGAATCCAAAGGACAATATATATAATATTGCATCAGTGAATTGTTTGTTCAAGACGTTACAATGAAATACAGAATTAATGACTTAGTCAACATCCAAAAATGAATCTAGAGAACCAGATGACAAGAAGATATTACTCTGTAATAATAAGATTCCCTAATAACTACTGGTTGACAGTGTTCGGTTCTATGGAGATGTTAGTCACGGATTCTAACCCCATTCCGCATATCGAGATTAGGTCAACCAGTCAGTCATACAATAGATATGACTTATTGCCAATTACATCTTGACTTTCTTTCATTGTTAAGGTTTCAGGACACTAGCCTACTTCTTAGTGCTTCTATCGATTCAGTTTCTCTATATCTACTAAATTATAAAACTGCATAGGTTGTGTGGATGGATGAAGGTAAATGTAGGTCTGTTCAATTGTCAAAAAAATAATCCTTTAAGCTAGTAACTTAAACCTTATCAGCTGAGCTGTAGGTGGAGGGGAGTTTAAACCCGTGACCCTTTGGTTATCATTTCCTCTCGAAACCAACTAGCTACAAATGAACAAGAGAATATTTTATGACAGGATAGTAAGCAGTACTATCTCTTATATACCGTGGACCCTAACTTGTTAAGTTTTTCGTCCTATTTAGAACTCATCAGCTGAATAGATGGAGAAATATTTTGCTTAGGAGTAGTATTCATCATGGACTGGACGGCTGTTTCGTCCTAACATGGTACTCCTCAGCAGTACGCAACCATGACCCGGCCACGGATTGAACTGAGGACGTTCAGGTTTCACAGCCACTGGGTCGATTTCCAGTGGTTCACAATTTCCAACTTCCATCAATTCACGACATAGCGCAACTATTACCCAAG